AATGTTAAGCTACAATGCTTTAATGCTAATCGAACTGGCTGATGTGGACATCTGCCTGAATCCATGTGGATGCAGCAGACGTTACCTACATAAGATTAATGTTTTGTTTTTTCTTTTTATTAAAAAGGAATAAAGACAGATTTTCCCAACGCTCTCAAGCCACAGATGGACTGCTTTCCGATGTTCCGACTGCATAATGGTGAGGTGAGATTGGAAAGTCTATGAAACCCTTAGATATAGGTCTACTGTATAATTATAAAAAAGCTTTCTTACACCCCTTAAAATGAAGAAGGCCTTGCGACCCCTAGTGGTGGTCCTGACCAGGGCCGTAATATTTATGTTTTTAACTTTAAATGGAAGCGTATGCATTAGGAGCATTTAATTAAAACCCCAACAGATCACACTGCATAATTTCTAAAATTCATTAACTTAATTAATTAAAAGATTAAGAAAAGATGCATTTTGTTCTTCATAGTAAATATTTTATTGATTTTGAAGATGTGTGGTCTTCATTATACTGTCCTCATCCTCCTCTTCCTCATTCTGTGTACCCGTCTCATCTCAAAAAGTTATTTCTGTTCACAAACTAAAAGCAATTCAACTATAATCCAGTGTCTGTACTGAGCTAGTTACAGTGTTAGAAACAAACAGCTGCTCTCTTCTGACATAAATCACTATTAAACCTTAATAATAATAATAATAATAATAATAATAATAATGTATATCAATTAAAAACTACAGTTTCCCTAGATTTACAATAAAAAACACACAGTTGGTTTCAACTCACTTTACATTCACAAAGTATTTCATCCTGTCATCAGCAAAGAAACACATGTCAGTCTCTATTTACAGTTTCTTAAAATAACTAAAGTGAGTTGATGCCTCATTATTCTCTGAGCCTACAAGCACACACAGAGGCGCACATTTTAGCCTTTTACTATGACACTGAACAGTGATTGACAGCTTGTAGTCCTCCAACCAGGAAGTCTTTGAGTTCTAGATTTTACGTTTTTCAGTTTGTGTAGAAAATCACAAAACCCAAAACAGTTGGTTTGTTCTAAACCAGAAATTACACCCATTAAAGTTTCAACTGTCATTTTTAGGGATGCACAATATTTTTTAATGCGATAAGATAAACAATAATTTCACATTTTTGTATTTTAAACAAACAAAAAAATCATCAAAATCACAGGCTGTAGTATATACACATGAGGGTAAGCATAAGAATTTAAAATAAATTACTATTTTTAGGGCTGCCCCACTAATAGAGAGTTTTAATTGACCCACTTTTTATTAATCAGATATTCGTCTTGTCACCAGGATCAGAAGATTTTTGCAACAAAAAATTGGCTGTAATTTATTTATTGGAATAATAAAATATAATTTATGAGATGTATTGTGCATCCCTACTAATTTTCTGTTTTGGAAACTATTTTGTTGAACAAAACTTGAGGCAGGATTTATTAATAATATGTTTTTGGAACTCTGAGTATCAGTGACTTCCAGGTTGATCCAAAGTAAAACCATAATTTCTGGACTCTATAGAAGATTTAAAGCTGCATCACAAATCTCCCAAATTTCAGTTCAAGCTCCATCCTGGAGATCTGCAGAAATGGCACAAAATGTATTTATATTAAAGGGTTCGGATTTAGTCTGGATTTAGTCTGAGACCATAGTCCTCTCCCAACACTTGTAGAGGGAAGAACTAACTCGGTCCAAACTTTAAATCTGAACCAAAGTTCCACCAGAAAATGTCACTAATAACTGCTGCTGCTGCTGTTAGCTTCTGCTAAAACACTGGTTCCCAACCTTGTCCCCTGTGTAAACTGATGACCCCTGACTAAGTGACTTATTTTATTTGGAGTTTATGTAAAACAAGCGATTTGGATGAATTTTTCCCAAATCATAATTCACAAATAGAACAATGACGACTAAATTCTAACACCCCTTAAAATCAAGGCTTTGCGACCCCCCATTAAGCTTTGGTGACCCCTATAGGAGTCCTGACCCCCAAGTTGGGAACCACTGTGCTAAAACGTTGGCTAGCATACTGAGCTAATGTTAGCTAAACACAAAATCAGTCAGATCGATCACTTAAAACAGCCTCATTTAGACCTCCAATACGGCGCACAAACAGTGAGAAAGTGAGTTCATTTTATCTACAATATTGAATATATGTCACTTTCACGTGTCTGTTGTACACACACACACAACATATTTAAATTAATCAAAATATGAACTAATCTTAGCTGAGATGCTATCAACATGTCTTACATTATACAGTAATGGCGGAGATCTTACTCATTCGGGAGCAGAGACACATTAAAAAGTAAAAGTAAACAAAAAGAATCTTGTGTTTTCAGTGAGAAACATCAGCTTTCTGTTTAATATTCTAGTGTTTTTCTGCAGGACAATCGTGTGTGAGGCGGTCCATCAGTCCAGCTGTGTGGTGTACAGATGTTGTAGTGAACAGTAATCAGTTCTTTATTGTTTGTAGATCTGGTGGTTCCCTCCGGCGGCGCTGGGCGGCAGCGCTGCGCTCGCTCCCGCCTGGACGTCAGCGAATCCCATCCTCTGCCTCCTCTTCCTCTGCTCGGTCATCTGCATGAACACAGGAAGTATGGTGAGTGCACACTGTTAGAAATTGTGTTTTTATTTGATTTATCGATTCTGAATGAATCCCAGTTCCAATTCCAATATAGTAAAAAAAAAAAAGAGGTATTATAATTATTACTATTTATTTTTTGTGGCTTCACTGTGGTTGTATTGTGGCAGAAATCAGATAACTATTCCCGACAAATAACTCAAATGTATTGAAGAGGAAATTGATAATCGTCAGTCAACTTCCTTTGTTTACTGTTACTAATTTTTCTTTATATTATCACAAATTAATCTTATATCCCTTTTAAAGGACCAGTGTGTAGGATTAGTGGTGTAGTTGCATGATGCAACTCCTTCCCTTCACCCTCCCTTTTTAAACACATGGGAGAAACTACGTTTGTCTCTCCTCGGCTAATGTAGAAACATGGTGGTTCAACGCGGCAGACTCTGTGGATAAAAACAGCTCATTCTAAGGTTCTAATTTTTGCTTTACCCACAGCTGAGTACTACTAGTAGGGCTTTTTGGAAGAATTGAGTGCAGCACAACTAGATAAATGAGACTGCACCATAAAATTGTCATTGTCTCTGTCTGATGGACACAATTGGTTTGATAAACTGGGAAACACTGAGAAAGACCCACTTAGAATGTTTTGGATTCATTCTACATTAATGTGGAGGCTTTGGCATGCAGGGGGAAAATATCTTTAGGAATTCAAGGCAACACAGGGAGAGTAATTGATGTACAAATCATTTCCAGGCTGAAGTGCTCCTTTAGGTTAGCTAGCATTGACTTGTTCTTTTGACTAGAAAGCATTTCAGTCACCACCAAAACTTTGTCCAAAGAGAACTTTTTTTCCAAATGCAGAATGTTAAATTTGGTGGATTGGCTCTGTTCTGGGACCAGAGTAGCAGCAAAGGTTCCCAGGGAACATAACATAGCACGCATCAGTGACAACATAAATGACATTGATTAAATCAGATACAGCATAAAAGGAGGAACTGGGGTGGAGGCGGTTTGCAGAGTAAGCAGCAAAGGTAGGCAAGCTAATGCAGCTTTGCTTGGAGGCTAGAGAATCAGCTGATGTGTGTTTACGATCAGCTGATGTAGCTGAGCTTGACTTTGTGGCCTGCCTGAATTCACACTGTGCTCAATTAATCATATCATGCTACTGCTCTAGTTACTGGTGATAAATTAACTTTTCAGGAGTGTTAATTCGAAACCCCTAATATAATCGAGTCTTACTGTTTATAAGTAAAACCTGGCAGCTTTAATGGGGGTGTGTGTGTGTACCTGCTCTTTGAGCTCAGTCAGCTGAGTCGTTAGGGTCGTCACGACCTTCATTGTCGCTGCCAGTTTGTCCTGTAACATCCTCATCTCGTTCTGCTCCCCGTCGCCGTCGGTTACCACCAGAGACATGGCCTGCATCCGTGGAAACCAGTCCAAGTTGTTGTTCTGAAACAGAAGAAGTTGTTTCCATGCTTAGTCTGTGTTCTTTGGTATTTCCCGTTTTTAAATTCTGAGTGTGTGGATGTTATTTTAGTTTTTTTACTTTGATCATGTGAGCGACGTAGCTCTCCGGTCCGGTGTAGTCCGTCTTGTTCTTCTCACGCACCAGAACGATGAAGTACAGGTAGTTCCAGATGTTGTGCTCCAGTTTGATGTGCTCTTCGAATGACACCGTCTTATTGTCAAACTTATCTCGCTCCAGACCTGCAACAACACGCAACACTGCAGGTCAGATATTCTGCTGGAAATGTTTCAAAAATCTGTCGTCAGATTAGTGGCCCCAAGAACCTAAAATTACTGTTTAGTTGCTGCCCTGATACAATAATATAAAGACACACTGCAGTTATATAAAACTTTTCTAAAATACCTAAAACAAACACTGTGATTATAACAAGGCTAATCAGAATATTAAAGCTGAAATAACTATTACAATATTGTCGGCATATGGTTAATGTAATAGTATTAGTTTTCATTGGTTTTACTTCTGTTTTGTCTGCAGAATTTCTGTATATAATGTTTTTGTGTGTTTTCTTCAGTTACTTTCAGAACCGCAGTAAATCCACCCGGCTCCAATTCAGTGGCTCATTCAACTCCCCCTGTTCTTCCAGCTCCCAGTCCGGATACAGACAGCTAATAGGATCGCTGACTAGCTAATAGCAGCTAGTACAGTTAGCATATGCAGCAGTGTGTTGCCTGTGTTACAAGAGAAAAGGTCTGTGTTGCAACAATCCTCTGATACTTTGGTCCTGGTGACAAGGAGCAGCTCCTGAACGCAGTTTAATGTTGGTTTTGTTTTTCTGCAACTGTCAGACTGACAGAGCATCGACTAAAACTCTTCACATCGAATTCAACTATTAAGGGGCAGCCGTCTCTTTTAGTTTCCTTATGCCCAGTGCGTACGTGTATCAATGTTTCTCCTAATCTGCCTCCCACAGTTCCCTCAGTGGTCGGTCTGACGGCTGTGTAGTTGTTTGTACTTACCGCAGATAAAACATGTGGTCTTCAGTATCTCCTCTTTCTTCTGTTTCTCACTCCTCAGGTCGGCGAATGTGTCAATGATGACGCCAAAGATCAAGTTTAGGACGATGATGATGACAATGAAGTAGAACAACAGGTCGTATACCACCCGGGCCGGAAACAGCGTCTCCTACACACAAACAGATACACACAGATACACAGAGACTTTATTTAACCAAAAACCATTAAGTAAGAAGTTATTAACGATTATTATTTCTCAGCAGCTAGAGAAGTTTATACAATCTGGAAACCCAAAAGTTTTTTAAAACTGATCTATAAACCATCAGTAAAGATTAATAATAATTAGTTAATGAAGGGGATGGATACAAAGTGTTGCTTACGTTCTTGGACGGTTTTCGGAGAACGTCTCCGACTCCTCCTCCGTTCCTCAGTCCGTGGTTCAACACAGTGACGATACACATCAGCAGAGTGTCACATGCTCGCTCCGAGCTCGGCTCCTCTGAAACACACACACGATACGAAGCATTTAACTTGAACGTGTATTAAAGCTGAATCACGTCGTCCTGCATTGAACACGCACACGGCAACTCTCACCTTCCTCCTCAACGACGGTGACAGCGTCGGTCTCCGACGTGCAGCTGACTCCGTCTGTAGAACACGAATTGATGAAATCCTGAGAGGCTTCACTCTGCTGAGGACCTGAAGGACAGAACACACACAGGGTTACTGTCAGAGACTCACCAGTAACACCTGACCAGCACAACCAGTAACACCTCACCAGTACCAACACACTGACACACTTCTGTCGTGAGTAGAACAGAGGTCTTAAGGGCAATTTCCGGCCCTCAATCACGCAACATAATGTCAAAAATATAACATGGTTATGTTGTCAGAAATTCACTGGAAATTCTTACCTAAACTTATCTACAGATGTCCTAGTATTTGGATATATACAGCATTTTGCCTTTGCCCCAGCATTGCTGGATAGTATATTTAGGAAAGCCTTTGAATCATGAGTTCCCTGTGAAGCTTTGGCGACCCCTAGTGGAGGTCGAGGCCCCAGCTACTTAAGATGCTGACTATTTCCTGGTGCAGATAAAAACATAAAATGCTCTGTTACCTGCAGCAATCTGCAACAGCGGGTCGACTTCCATGATGAAATCATCCTTCAGGCAGAGGAAGCCAACGATGGAGAAGAGGTAGACGAGGATGAGAGCGAGCAGTGCCGTCAGCAGGATGGAGCGCCCGTTCCGAGTGACGCTCTTTATCACGTTGAACAGAGTCTCCTCCCGGTAGATCAGGTCGAACAACTGCACACAGACAGACAGACAGACAGTGAGTTTGAACTGTGGCAGCATTTCTGGTTGTTGTTGTTGTTGTTGTTGTTTACCAGGATGCTGTAGAAGAGCTCATGGACAAACAGTCCCAGTGTGGAGGTGAGGACGTAGGCCAGGTGGTATAGGAACTCCACATCCATCACCATGGCTTTGTATCCCATAATGAACGTCCCGTTGTTCCCCACGAAGCTCACCACAAACACCACCTTGTTGATCAGCTGCAGGTCAACAGCAAACAGCGGATTATTAAATCATATTGTAAAAATATGAATCCGTTCTTATCATTTATCCTGGGAAATTAATTTTTTTCTTTTGAATATAAAATGGCTGAAATTGTAAATAAACACGTTGCTTTGTAGGTTAAACTGTGGAAGGAAGTTGTCATAACTTCACTGTACGATGTCAAACTTCACGTCTCATAGAACTACATGCTAATATTCAGTCATAGTCACAGCGCCCCCTACTGGATTTCATCGCTGCTTGCAGCTTTAATATTTTTATTCTTCTGTTTAATTTTAATCTTCTGTTTCACTTTGTTTTTTTAACATTTCACTTTTTCATGATTGTAATATTGGCAGCCCTAGTCTTCCACACAGGAAGGTTTAACAGGCTAAAAGAGTTTAAGGTATTAAGAAAACCTTTAAAAGTCACTTTAAATTCTCTCATAAAAAAAACTTGTGATGAAAACGGAGGTCTGACTTTAAATAAAGTTTGTTAAACAGATTTCTGTTATCAGTTCAGAGAGTGCCCTGCGGCCCAGGTGGCTGATAAGTTACGTAGTGCCACGTACGTTGAGTGATCCCAGCAGTATGAGCGTGTTGCCGATGCCGAGGTGGTAGATGGATCTGAGGATGAGAGCGAGGGTGAGCGGCTGGAGGCCGTAACGCTGAGAGAGCAGGGCCAACACAGAGAGACCGATCAGGATCCAGAACAGCATCAGCAACAGGGAGTCGTCAATCGCGCCTACTGGGAGGGAGGGAGCGGGGAAGGAGAGGGAGACAGTGTAGAGGAGGGGGAGAGAGAGGAGAAAAGGAGTTGAAGGGAAAAGAGAGGAGAAAGAAAAAGTTACTCTGGGCACCAACAGACAGAATGCAGTTTAATAATATGATCAGTATCAGTTCATTGAAACCTCTTTGTAAGGAAGTCTGTGGACGTCAATGTTACAATCATTTAATCAAACTGACATTTTATTATTATTATTATTATTTTTATCATTGATTTATTTTATTTTCAGGTAAAAACAAGCATTTACTGCATAAATATTTGTAATTTTACTGACATAATTAATGTGAAATGGACTGTAAAATGTGTAGTATCAGTACTATCAGTAGTATCAGTACTATCAGTACTATCAGTAATACCTTGTCCAGAGTCGTAGGGGTAGAAGAAGGCGATGATGAGGTTGATGAAGACGGCGAGGTTGAAGGAAATGGTTCCCCACAGAGACATCCTCCTGGAGAACCAGTACAACACCGGCATACCTACACACACACACACAGATGCATGTTATAGTTATTGATAATACTTCTCATTAATGACTTCATACCCTGTCCTTGAGGATCAATAAAATGTTATCTTAATCTATAATAATACATCATATGTATGGGGGGGTCCATATACAGTTCAATAACACTATAACAGTAACAGCAGTAATAATAGCGTAGTAGTCGTCTATAATCTATAACTGTACGCCCTAATTGAGTTATTGATTATCGGAATCGAAGAAGCGACTCACTCCTCAGCTTCTTCTGCCACTCCATCTCTCCGTGCAGGAAGGACGTCTGTTCAAAGAAGTGCGTGACCTTTGACCCCTGCTCGTCCTGCTCCGTGGTGTTGAACACTCTCAACTTGGACTCTTCGGTCAGAAACTCGCAGATCGGATGAACGGGAAACACGATCTGTTCCATACTGCGGTCCTCACGGACGATCTGCAGTCAGGCAGTCAGACAGACAAGCAGACAGACAGACAGACAGACAGACAGTTAGTACTACTACTATATACTATTTTATATTGCTTCTTTCATTGTCCTTTATTTGTTGTGGTCACTTCAATCTGTGCAGCACTTTGGTCAACTCAAGATATTTAAATAAACTTGATTTGATTTGAATTATTAGTATTAATGTTACATTTATCAATGTTATCCACTGACTGTAATTAGTCTGCACAAAACATTTACAGTTATATGCTTATATATAACAATAAAGTTGGACTGAAGAGGTATTAGCAGTATTAGCAGTATTAGCAGTACCTCTATCTGTGAGGTCAGCAGGTCGTAGTACTCCAGTGGGTCCTGTTCCACAACAGCAGCTGGAGCTGAAGACTTCAACATCTGGGACAGAGGACGGTTGTTCAGGTTCAACTGCAGACAGACAGACAGAGTATTAGAAAGTACTGCAGTAGTACTCCAACAGTATAAAGTAATGTTACAAAGTATTGCAGTACTACTCCAACAGTACTTAGAGTTGAGTTTACCATGGAGGAGATCCCTTCCTCTCCCTCTTTGCTGTTCTTCGGAGGTTTCAGGAGGTTCTGCAGGACCTTGTTGTGTCTCGCCAGCTGCAAACAAACAAACAAACAAACAAACCTGTTTAGAGAACTACAAACTGAGAGCGGAGTGAGACCTCCTGTTGGCCAGCGAGGAGCTCGTCTTTACTCACCTGCTGAGCCAGGATGTAGATGTTGTGTCCCACCTCGCGGGGGGAAACCTCCACCTCCACCTCCTCAAGCTCACACTCACTGTCCTGATGGTAGGCCTTCTTTATCACCTCCACCTGCACACACACACAC